CTAAAAGCTATCATATAGATTAAATTTCATTGAAACAGTTTTCAGTACACTTTGGTCCTATCCGTTCTGTTCAATTTGGAGTATTTTCAAAATCATAGGTGCCACACTTATGTAGAACAGAACTTGAAGTGGGTTTTCACCTACAGCATTGGATATTAGTAAAACATCTGTTTTGCTGGTGAAACAAAAAGGTACACTTGTGTTAAGTGCATGCATCCATTCCTTTAATTTTACGTGAACTTCATCTGAAAATATTTGCAGTGGGTTTTTAAAGTATTTGTGATCCTGTGTTTAAGTAAAGGAAAACAAGTTCTTATCCAATATATAAACAATCTTTTCTTATTTAATGAATTCTGTTTGATCTATTAAAGCATAATAGTTGTGAGGATAAAGCCTTTGAGGGAAGATTAATATATATTTAGATCATTACAAAATAATCTTCTTTCACTTATACCTAGCTTGAAAAATAAAATTACAGAAAGCACTGATTAATACTGCTTTGAAAGCTTTTACTTTTTAAGAAGCCTAAAGTAGAGATTATACTGCATACTAAAAGATCTTTTGGTCACAAAAGTCATACTTTTTAATAGGTGACAGTGCTGAGAACATAATTCTGTTTACTGGGAATGGTTTTAAAGCCACATAAGAGTAGGAAGAGGACTGAGCTGATATACACATACTCATCTCATATCTGAGTCGACTTTTTTCCTGGTGTTTGTTGTTTAACTATGCCATGTTGCAAGAGGCCATAATATAAATTATAAGAAGAATATTTGTAATAAGAAATATCATTCCCTAGAGGCATAGTTTATTTTCATGTCTTTCAGAATTTGTTTGTGGGTTTTTTAGACATTGATAATTAGTATAATCTTAAAGTAAAACTCAATTAAAAATAGAATAATGTGAAACTGAGATTGGTAAGATTTTTTTTTCTCTCTGCATGCTTTAGAGGGGTTTATCACAGCAATGTCTGAATATTAACTTTTTTCAGTTTTCTGTGTTTGTTTGGTGGTGTTCTGTGATTTTTCTGAGAATTCTCCAGGATGAACTTTTAATGATTTCATTAACTGTAGATTCCGTGAGAGTGGAATCCTTAGACATTTATTATGCCTTATTTAATAAATACCTTTATTAATTAACAAAATTATCAGGAGCATTTCATGGAGGGAGAAAAAGCCTGCTTTTGAAAAGTTAATTAAAGCATAAATTCTGTAATGAATGTTCTCTCAGCCTCTATTAAGAGGAATGTTTCACATAAACATTTAATGTTATGTGATTGTGGACACTCCAGTAGTATGATAGTGGAATTCTGTGACTCCCTAGAAGGGCTTTTTTCCTTGTTCTGGCTCTTTTGCTATTAATTTAAAACAAATATAATAGCTAAAGGCTCTATTATTTAAAAGGAAGTGTTCTTAATCATTACTAGTGCTATTTTGGGGCATTGTTGCTGTTAGCGTATAAATTTCTGTGTAAGTCTAATCTGTTTGGAAGTGAACTCATCTACCTCCTGTGTGTTTCAGCCCAACTGTTTAGAATTTGATCATATTAACATGTTTGTCTAGAGCAAAGGGTAGTTTTTCATTGAAAGCATGCAATAAAACTGGGAACTTGGTAGTACAGACAATGTGTTTTGGACAGGAGGACAGCTACTTGGTTTCTCTTGTCTTCAGTTGCAATTATACTGGCAGAGATTATATTGCCAGAAGTGATCCAGGGGAAATAAGGATAGACTTTCAGTTCACTGTTCAAACTGTACAGGAAACTAATACAATTTCAGACTCCCTCTCAAGGCGCACTGTTTTTCGAAAGATACAAATTCTTTGGTAGGCATTTACCTAAAGTCAGCACATGCTTTGACTCACAAGGTAATTGTAGCAAGAGAATTAGGAGGACCATAAAGATCTGTCCTGCTGTTAAATTGTGTCAGTGTGAAAATTCTGATCATTTGAGAAAAAGCAATAGCATCTATTATTTTGAGACATCTAACACTGTATTTAGACATTAGCCGTAGGTTCTTCTAGAAATAATTTGTTCTTCTCATGTAAAATTCCATATAAAGGAGACTACTGAAGAATCAATGCAGAGTAGTAAGAAATACAGTAATTCAGATTTCATAGGGAAGATTATCTTCTCAAGACATGCAGGCTTTTGAAAGTGAAGACATCAAATGATATTAAGAAATATGACTGTTGGGGAGTTCCAGTAAACCCTTGGAATCAACAAAAATGTTTCTCCATTAGTGATTCTGAAGCGTCCTTGTGATTAGACAGTCTAGATTAACCTGGGTGGTGGGTTTTTTTCATGTTTGACCTTACAAAGGATTTAATGACCTTTATATAAGCTCAGGCTAAGTGAAAGTTCCAGTGGATCACTGTGTCCTGTAAACTTCATTTTTGGATGAAGTGGAAATGTCCTTCTGCAGTCCTGACCTCAATTTCAATACCTCACTATAGTAGTTGAAAAGTTTGCACAGCCTGGATCAGAGATAACCAAAGCAAGCACTGCTGAGGCTGTTAGTCACACCTGCTCAGTGTGATTTACATGCTTCATCAAGCGTGGAACCACGTCAAGCCAATAGCTGTGTAAAATTGTTTTGAAAATCTACTGCATTATCTGAGAAAGAAGGGATGACTATTCCGTTGCTTGCTGAATGGACCTTGTTCTGTGAACAAGGAAGATTTGAACCGTTTGGGATTTTTTTATGTGACTGTTCTGAATGAAGCTACTAAAGAGGATGCTTGATAACTGAAAATAACTAATGGATAACTCTAAAGACTGATTCAGGCATGATCAGTATGAACAAATATCATTGGCTCTGTGGAGTGTAGACTATTTGGACCCAAATGTGCTGTGGTCTAATTAGTGTTTACACCTCAAGCAAAATAATAAGACTTTTCTGCTTGTTTTGGAAGAAGGCTCTAGTCATGGAAAACACTAAGTCAAAACCAGTGCTAGCTGCTAGAATTCAGTACAGCATGCCTTATATCTTAGAGGTACACATCTCTCTCTTTCCTATGCTTGCCGCAGAACTGGTCTGCACTGCCCTTTGAGGCTTAGTTGGGGATATCTGTCTAACCATAAAGTTTTCACCTGACAAGTAGCTAAATACAGACTCTGCACAGGAGTATTCAGATGCATAAACATACAGTCCAGAACTACTTGGAGCCAATAAATCTTTCCCTTAGGAGAACAAGAAAGTCAGTGATATTACTGATAAAAATACAGATTATATACTTTTTGTTTGTTTTTAAATTAAAGTTTGAAGATTTTTCCAAACCAGAAGTTGTTCATCACATATTTTATATAGCTTTTACCTTAGAATGGGTTTGTGTGAACTGGTACAGTGTTACAATGCTCAAATTCAAAATCCTGTGGTAGAATACTTAAACGTCTAAAGAAGAAAATACTTTTTTTTAATCCTGCAGACATTTTATTGGTCTTGAGTTTGTTGGGTTTTTTAACTCAAAAGAATTGATAGGAGACTTGCATGTAATAGTATATCCATATGTAGTATCATCTCGGTAGTAGCTTTTGTAACTATATGAGTACGTAGATAATATTCACAGGAGTAATATCCCCCCTGACTTTTGGTGTTAGTGCTGAGCTTTTCAAATAAGCAAATAGCAATTTCAAATAGCCTATTTGAAAAAGGGTGTAAGCTTCAGGTCTGCCGTCTTTGAGTATGGGTTGAATTGAGAAAACTGTTTCTGTTTTTATCACTTCCCTCTTCTGAAAAGAGATGGGGAAAAAAAGTTAAAAAAATCAAAGTAAGCCTTTCAAAATGAAGTATTTCAGACTGTATACAAGTTTTTTTGGAATTAAAATCACAGAATTTTTAATTCATATACAGAATTGAAGAATCAATTGTTACACTTATTCAGGATTTCTCACAAGGACAAAATTATTCACATGCAGAACTGCAGGAGCATGGTTTAACTACGATTATATGAGCTTTATTATGTTTAGAAATATCTAAATATCTTAATAATTAAACATTTATGAGTAAATCTCCTGTGAAAGTCAAAACCACTAGGCTTTAGAATGTATACTGTAGGTGGAGTTGTGCAAGCTTCCTTGTGGAGCTGTGCCGGTACATGGGATTCTGAATCTCAAAAGTCCTCTTGAAGAGCTCAGTGTCTGAATAAAGAGTAGGCTTTTGGAGTGGCAAATGAAAATGAGTTTTCAGAACATTCCTCTTTGAAAACAAAACTTGTTTCAAATCTACTGTCTCACAGAGAAAATCTAGTGAGCTTAACTCTGTGTTGTCTGGCATCTCTACACTTGCGAAACCTTTTTCTAGTGAAGCGGTAGCATTTTTCACTGTCGTGTTCAACAATTTTCAGATTTTTGTATCTTTTCTTTTTATGATGTTTTCTTAAGTATACAGCTGAGGAGACCAATAACAAAAAGATAAATCCATAGATGATGAAAGGATTTTCCTGAGCTTAGTAGTTAACATAATAGTTTGAAAAGAAAAGAATTTACAAGTACTTGTTCAAATGCACTATGTAGAGAGTGAATAAAATAAACAGCAAGATGTGTTGTGATAGGAACTCAGATGATCAAAGGGAACTACTGAATAGGCATAGTTATTCTTTCAGATAAAATAAGGAAGTAATTCCTTTGAGAGTTTTTGTGATCATTTCTGTTGGAAAACTTTGTATGCATTACTCGGAAATTCAATGAAGAGAAAAGCAATACAGCCTAGATAATAGTGTCAGCTTTGAGCACGAGGTGGCATGTGGACATAGCTTGAGCTATTTCTCCAAATCATTTGAATGGAAATATTGGATTAGTTAACCTTGTGTCAGGTCTGTTAGTTAAATAAACCCTCCAACTGTTCCTGACTGAAGGATGCATAGTTGTGACTGAAAGATGCTGCTGCTTTTCATTAGAATTTTGTCAAATATATCCTGCTAACATAATGATTTTAAAATAAAATGGTTTATTCGATGGAAAAGGATAACAAGCAGAAAATTCACAGTCTTTTCTTTTCACAGGGTGTTTCAGCCCAGTAGGAAATCCTCTTAGCCGAACACTATTGGGTAGACTACAGACGGTAAGGAATTCTATCTTTGCATTTTTTTAAATTGATGTTTAACTATAAAATGTCATTATTCACAAGTTCTCATTGTAGAGAGGGTTTTTTTATCCTTCTTTATTCACAAAAGCGGTATCTGCAAGCAAATTGTCTACATGGACAAATAAGCTTTTGCTGCAGCCAGCTGGTAGCAAGATCACATATCTGCAAATTAAAACTTTATGTTTTTCCATGATTTACTTTCTCTTGTTTAGAAATAAATAAGGTAAAATCACAGTCCTGTGTTTTTGATTATTACTAAGAATACAGGCATTGATAAGTAGGGAGAGAAAGCTGGGACAATAACTTGAAATCGAATCCTATTTGCAGCACCATGTTTTCATTGTTTACTCACACTTCACCTTTTTGTAACAAGTGAAATTACAGCTATCCTCTGTTTATTTAATTGCTTATTTGTTAAATATTGATTAGAAACTTCTAATAATTATATTTCTGGTTTCCTGATCACCATAATAAAAATCCAGCAGACTCTGTAAATTAATTCTAACTATATGCTTGATAAACCTGGATTAAGTATGGAGAGACTAGTGATGGAAGAGCAAGTGGTGCTTCTGGATACTCAACATATGTGTGGCTCTCGAGAGTTGGGCCTGTTGTACTGGAGATGTTAATCCTCCTGCACACATGGATAAAGTGCTATGTTTTAATATTCTGTCTTAATTGCAGGCTAATTGTAAGTTTTAAGAGAAGTGTTAGAAATGGACATAAATTAACTCAGATCATTTATAGGTGGTTTACAGTTTAGATTTGGGATTTTGTTTTGGGCTTGTTTTGGGGTTTTTTTGGACCTACCTTATTTAACAGAATCTGTTAATGAAGTTGTGGAAGGCTCATAAGGTACGTAGGATTCACCAAGAAATTTTGAAAGTACAGTTTTACATCGATGTTTTGTTAGTGACTAAATAGTTCTTTTCACATTTTCAATTTTTTAGCCATCAATATAGAAAAAGTGTAAATTTTTCAATCAATATTTTAATGTTCGCCATCACAGTAAGTTCTTGAAGCATTTACAGGATCAACTGTTTTGGAATCTACTAAACAGCAGCTAACTTAAAATATTTTTTTTCTGAGACGGTTAAATTAAGGTTTTAAATATTTTTGTTACTTTTTCTGTTATAAATTCAATAATGTATAAGTGCAGGTAAACACTATATTGGGGAAAGTAACATATTTACAAATCACAAAATAATTGAAGAGATTTTGAATCATTTCAGGAGCTGGAGTATTTCACATGCATCTGAATTGATCTTTTTTCCCTTTTTTCTTTTCTTTCTTTTTTTCATACCTCAAGGCTTTACTGCAGCAGCTGTGTTTGCATTTCTGTTTTCTGTTTGTACATTGCAGGTTTCCATAAAGTGCAGCCTGGCACAGTTTTGGTTCTTTTCCTCTAGGCAGATTATAGATTCCCATGCTCATTAAATATTGAAGGGCTGTAATCAAATAAGGATTGTAGTCATCTGAAGCCTAAGGAAGTATCTTCACAGTGTCTACAGACAGATTAATTAAGATGAAAGAAGAGTACATTATTCTTATCAATTAATACTTGTAGAATAATTTTAATTTAGGTATTAATACTGCCCTTGTACTTTTGTTTCCTGTGGACTAAAATTCTACAGTTAGTTGTCCTGAGCTAGGAGTGACGATTAGTTGGACCAGAGAACAAGAACAGGAATACAACAGTGCTAGCATTATTCAAGTATTTTATGTTGTCTCAGCTTATTTAATGTTTCATTTAAAAATTCAGTTACTGGAGTAAAGTGATTGCTTGCCATTCTTAGGGAAGGAGATAATTAAATAAATTTTCAGCACTCAAGTTCACAAGGAAAAACTAAAACAATGGAGCAACTGGGAAAGCTCAGGTTGATTCTGTAAAATTTTTAAATGTTTTAAATACTATCTCACTTTTAAGCCAGTGGTGGGTTTTTTTGAGCACTGTAAGTTCATTTATTTTGTCTGCTTTAAAAAAAAAAAACCAAAAAACAAACCACCACAAAACAAAAACACAAAACCCCGAAAGCGTAACAGTCTGAGAACATAGGCTATTACACATTGAGGCACAGATTTACTGAACAGACAAGAGAAGCTTTAACATTCATTCCCTGTGTCTTCACTGGAGCGTTTGCACAAGTAACACTCCCAGTTTCTCTTCCATTCTGACAGATGCAGGCACAGGGAGATGGAGTGGAGAGAAGCAGTGGTACTGTGCAGCATCCGAGAAATAAGTATTTGTCCTTCTTCATGTCACTGAGTCTATCACTCACCAGGGAAAGGAGGAGGGGTGACTTTGACCTTGTATGCACACACATTGGGGTTCCCTCCAATATTTGTAGTGTCTGCCTAAGATTAATCTTAGAAAAACTTATTTTCCAAGTGTAGTTATCAAGAGTTAATGACTAATTAGAAGTGGGACTTAATCTGTATATTTATTCTGTTACAATGAATATATTTACATGTAAGGAAGAAGCATATGAAACCACCAGTAGGCTTTATATTTTTCCACATTTTTTTCTTTAAACTCTGATATTGTGGTATTTGAAATATGTTTGTTCAGTAGTAGAAATGAAATGCTGAATTTTTTATGGAAAACGCAGTAAAACGTGCCACTTGTTCTTACCCAGTACTGTTTCTTCTAGGGGAATGAATGCTATCTAATGCTCAAGTTCTGTTGTTTGCTATATATCTGCATGAAAAAAAGCAAAACCTCCATTACCACAATCACTGAAACTGCCCAATTAAAAAGAAGCCATACACATTTTAATTAGTGCTATTATCAGGAATTGGTGACACTTGATACAGTTACTTATATATCAGTTTACTCTTACCTGTAATGCTCTCTTTTGTATTAGTGTCTTAAATTTTTTTTTGCTTGTTTTTGGGTTAGAAATATCTAGGCTATCTAGAACTCTGAATCTATTCGGATAGAATTCTGGATCTATTTATCTTCTTCTGAGGATGTTCCTTAAGCTGAAAGCTCCTAACAGCTTTGTTCAACCAAAAGCAGTATGACACAGCGGGCTTTTTCAGCAAGCATTTTGTTCCTGTTTCTCACAGATGGTTTGCTTCCCAAAAAGACCAACTCCTCAGCACATAACTATAGCCCCACATCTGTTCCAGTGCAAGAAAAGGATTAACTAGTTTCCATCTTGCATTAAAAAGAGGAGACATTCATACTGTGTTAAGAACGATGTATTCATATACTTATGTCTGTCGCTTTTTTGGAATCCTGAAAACGTTGCTTAATCTTGTGACCCAACGTTAAAAAACTGTTTCTAAACTGAAAGGCCAGTAGTTTTTGCTGGGAGTTACTTGCAGTATATATGGTAGTTGGCACTGTTTGGCATGGCATGCCAGAGGCAATTCTGCTGCCTTGTAGTAGCTACATCTGTGGTAGGCAGCTGTGGCCATTCCCTTTTCCCGCTGGAGGGAGGTGTGTGCAGCCCATGACATACTTGGAGTATCTCTTTAAGAGGAAACTCTTTGGATTGTTGTTGCCTTAAAAGTTTAACCAGTGTCTGAGAACATTCAACATAGTCTCAGGATGACTCATGGATTTTAGCTTGTTATTTCCAAACAGCTCACTCTCCTCAAGCTGCTCTTACGCTGAGTGTTTGAGAGCACATAAATACTTTATTAAAAAGAGAGACAGATTGAGACACAATAATGGGGCAATATGAGTACCTGAACCAGATACCTAAATAATACTGCTAATAATTCTGATGAATCATTTTTGAGCAACAGGAGGCACTCCCATCCCACAGGCTAAGCACATTGCCTGCACAGTTCCCTTAACCTTGAGAATGGAAAATGAGAATTAGCTGTAACCTGTAAGGCAATGCTAACTAACAGTAGACCACTGAACAAGCCACGTACTCTGAACTGCAGCTCCACCAGTCTTTGTTCAAAATTTGTTTACTAAATCAGGCAGTTACCCTTCCCCCCCCCGCACGTATGTACATAATTATTCAGAACTCTTTAGGTGGTAGGATTAGATGTCACAGTAGATGATAAGAACTGAGTGCAACTGTTCGCTTTTATACTGTGTTCATCTGTATGTACTGAGTGTGTCTGTGACTCCCATGGCAATACTGAAACAGTCTGGACACTGGATGGAACCTCTGTGTTCAGGATAGTCAGTGATTTTTTTCATATATGGGAGGGCAAGAATCTCTCCATTTAGTCTGCTGAGGATTGCAGTAATGATGTTCTCTGGGTCACCCTAATAAAATAAAAAGCCCCCAAAAAACCCAGAAAATAAAGAGAGCAATATATTTTAAATGCGTGTTTTTGAAAAACAAGAGAAGTTCATGCAAAAGACAGTTAAAGGAAGGGCTGTAAAATAGGAAAAAGGTTGAAGCAAGTTGGATAGAAATTCGCAAATTTAAATGTTGTTTATAATGTGGAACAATCTGTTATGGGTGGAAATGCTTATTTTGCAAAACTCACATTTGATTTGCTTTTAAAATATTTTAATTGCTGTGTAATATTTCTATTCTGCATTGTAGTTTGTATCCTTTGAAGCACACAAAATCTAGGGGAAACTGGTTTTCTTTGTGAAAATAGGCCATTGAAAAAAATAAGCCTCAGCAAAGGACTTCCATCCCTTTCTTTGTTCGAATTTGTTGTGCCTCTGCTAATTTTCATATTTTTTCTGTTGTAAATCTTTCAACTGAAGAATTCTATTATTTGACAGAAAACAAATTTGTAGGTACAGACACATCTTAATTGTTGCATTATATACCTGCTATTCCATTCACTTCATTGGAAGTCAGAAGAGTAAATGGTGAAGATAGAACAATTAAAATTAAATGGAAAGTACTGGTTACAAAGACCAACCTGAGATTCTCCATTATGCGAAAGTGACATCTTTTGCATACTGTTTCAGAGTTGAAGTTCACTGCAACAACTTCTTAAACATCTACTGTAGTGTTTGCAATGCAAACAAGCTCAGACTGCAGAGCCATCAATCCTGTCTTCTCCCATGTTATCTTTAGTATAGTGTACATACTTGACAAACTTAATATTTTTTTCCTAAAAACCTACATAGCTAATATTGCTCAGTGTTGCTTAACATCACTTCTGCTTTTTCTTTTTCAAAAAAAAATGTTTTTTAACAGATAATTCTTAGTTTTACATCTAGACATGAAAATATTCAAAATTCTAGTACATCAAAATACTTCATATTAAAGTTTTTAAATAATTTCTTCTTCTAGAATGATGACTGCCTGACTGCACTGGGGGTGAGAGGAGGAAGCGGTTGTCCACTCAGGCAAGAGACAGTAAGTGTTATGCAATTTTTTGCAGTATCTTCTATACCTGTTACATGGTATCTATGCTTTTGAAAGCACATTCTCTTTTTTTTGGCATGTTCCCAAGGATTTTATTTTTACCCTAGATTTTGTAATTCTTACAAGCACGTTCATAATCAGCGTAACCACGTTACTGCTGGTTTTCTACCACTCTTGAAAACTAAGTCTGTAAAATTTTGATGAATACAGATTTTTTGCTTGAACTTGGACCCAGGCAGAACACATGTCTGAATGTTGCACTAGAAGAAATTCCATTGCTTTTGGCATAATAGCGAGTGTTTACATTCATCTTTGATCCTGAGGTGAATTTCCTGTATTCCCTTAGGGTCATTTTCTGATCATATGTCTCCAGAGAATATGATGGCAATTTCTACAATTTGTTTAAATTGTCAGGCTTGCTGAACCAGTTGTATTACAGGACACATTATTTTTTTATTTTGGGGAGACAGACAGTAGGGCTTGCTTGATTGGTTTGAACAATTGGCAGTGTTTCCATGCTACTGAATTTTTGTAATTTTTTCCAAAATACAAAATATTTACTCAGAACTGTCTTACAAAATACGCTGCAAAAAAGAAGTATTTGTTGCTCTGCCTTTTATTGGGTTTTGTGCTGCCAAGTAATTAATTCTTTTTTTTTTTTTTTTTAACCTTAATTGACCTCATGATTTTCATAGTACCATTGGTAAGGAAAAAACAGTTGCCACTTAACTGAAGTGGGCACCGTTAGAAGTATCCCTTACTGGACATGATCATGTGAGCTTCCAGTTCTGTACTGTTTCTCTATGGTGCTCATTAGTGTGTTTTAGTTTCATTCTAATCTATAGAATATCTGTATTGTCAGCATCACCTGTAATTACTCTATTAGCTTTCTTAGTGCAGGGAGGAGAGTTATGATGAAGGATTTTTCACTGTTTAGCTTCTTTATGTAAGTTCAGGATTACTGAATGCATATTTAGATAAATTTTATGTCTACTGAGAATTATGCTAATACTAATTCTTTGATGCTGACCAGCTCACACATTAGCACATAGAGTTTGCAATGGTAGAATCATTTTCATCTTTTTCCATTCATAACCAATTTAATCTATTTAATTGGTGACATGGAATTATGAAAATAGAAGTGACGTTGGCTATATTTTTACACACATAACTCACAGGACATCTTACTCAAATTAGAAATACAAATATGAAAAGCACTGCACAGTTCAGCAGTCAGAATTTAAATGCATGCATGAGTAATAAAAAAAGGAAATTTTTTTTCTCCAAATCACCATCTTCATAATAACTTTGCTGTCTCCTTCAAATCCCTATAACCTCCTATCACTCCTAACAACCCCTGTTTCTGGCCTTTCTACTTACAATTTTGTAGAGGAATCTGAGGTGAAGATTATACGTAGGGAAGCAGTGTTCTTTGTGTAAAATAGGTCACAATTTTGTTCTTCACTTATGATGAGGGAAGTGAGCAATTGCTTTATTCTTTCAGTTCAGTTATTTTCAGTCTTTCCGGCTCTGAATTCATCAGGACAGATTTTTCTTCATAGGACATAGGAAATACATAAGAAATTATACTTGACTCTTTCATATTCAGGGTAGAAAGCAGGCTTCTGGCAATATATTCAATGTAGTATGCATGATGCTGACCACTTTTTTCCAGAAAAGTACTGATGCACTGTATTTCACTGGCAAATGGATTTATTATGTGAAATGGAATATAAGTGTATTTTTGGCAGATATTTATAAAATTGTATATGCAAATCCTTATTTCTAAAAAAAAAAAAAAAAAGTGGAGTGATCAAAGCAAAACTTTGCAATGATATTTTTGTACTACATTTTTCCTTCAGTAAAACTGCCATACTGTTGAAGTATTTATTCGAACACATATGCTTCATGAGCACACACAGAATAGGATCTGAAGGTGGTGTAACAATTCTAAGAAAGTGAATGTATGAAGTGTGGGGGGTTTTTTGTTGGTTTTTTTTTCCTTTTGCTTCACAAGTAAATTGCTTATAAAACTAACAGCTGCTGTTTTGAAGCTAATCTTAGTGAATTGAATGTTCTTAACCATTTCTACAATCCCACAGTCCTTTATCTTGCCTCTCCTGCTGCTTTCCCACCACCCCTGATCCCATTAGCAAAACTTGAGACAGCCTCAGCTTTTACCAAAGTGCAGCTTTGGTTTCAGCTGCTTTTCTGCAAGAGGAAGTGAATGTTGCGCTTTTTTCTCTGTGGCATGGTTGTGATAAAGCTGTGGTGCTCTTATCTCTCTTTTAGGTAGTGGCTCTTTATGACTACACAGCGCATCGATCAGATGAGCTAACCATCCATCGCAGTGACATTATCCAAGTGTTATACAAAGATAATGATAACTGGTGGTTTGGCAGCCTAGCAAATGGACAGCAAGGCTATTTTCCAGCTAATTATGTGGCTGGTGAAAGTAAGTTTACTGCAGTCTTCCTGGTATACCGGTGTGGGTTTAACTGATGGTCCAAGATTTTAACATGCTGCACTACTTATTGTTTTGAAGATATGAATTTATGTAGCACATAGATGGCATGACTATGACTTACTGTGATGCAGATATTATGTAAAGTTAGCTAATCACTTAGCAAGTTGACATATCTAACTTAGGAAGGTACTGACACTTAGGTAAACATTCCAGCTTTTATAGTACTGGCTTAATTATCAGTCAACTGGAGTGATTCCTTGTCTCTTCTTACATATAGCCACCTGGTTCATGCCCTTCCTTGGCAATGTTTTAGGGCACATTGAAGCATTACACAGACATTTTAGGTTTTTCTTAGGTAACCTCTGTTAGATCTAACCAGTTACTTTTGTAAAAACTCTGGATTTTCCCCCTATTCTAATGGAGAATGCTTATTTCCCAAATAAATGGATTTCAGTATGAAGCTTTAAAAGAACAGTAATGGTTAAATCTCATATCTGGATATTGAACTTGATACTAGGTCCTTGTCATTAAAACAGTTTTGATTAAACTAATCGAGACAAACCTTAAATGAAGCTAAACAAATAATATAGTAAGCATCCTACTGAGTCAACTGATGTAAAGATATTTGGTGTCCTGACAGTTGTTGGTATTCAGTTTATGGACATACTGTGTGGTTGCACACTACAAGAAATTCATTTGCCTTCCTAAACTATCAAACTATCAGTTATACTGGTGTTTAGAAATCTTTTAACCCAATATTTCTCAAGATGTTTTCTCCCATTTTCTAGTTCCTCCCCCTGTCTTTCACGCAAAGTCTAGTATTTATGCCTCTTTTCTAAAAAAAAAAAAAGAAAAAACACCAGACTTGGACATAACACTGCTAACTTGATGATGGTAATTAAAGTTAGCTTAACCTACTGCCCTTCCCCTTTTTCCTCCCCTTGCACATCCTGTGCTTTTTCTCCTTCCTTTCTTCCTTGCAAAATAAGCCTGAGAGCAGTCTGTAGGAAGGGTCTTCAATGATGGCCTGTTATTAAAAAAAAAAAATAATAATTTTGAGGCAGTTGTCCAACTGTCCAAAAAACCCTGGTGTATAATTTGTTGTTTCAGTTGCTGACCATTTTGTTACTGAATCAAAAGAAATGCATACGATATATTTGTTAAGTAGGAGCTGCACTGTTGTCAGTATGAACTTTGTTCTTAGTCATGTAAATTATTTGGTTTATTTTACATAATTACCTATATAAAAATCACATTTAAATTTAGTGTACTAATATAAATAAAAGTTAATGGGCAAATTTTGATAAATTCTTACAAAGTTTGACTTCAAACATTTTTCAACGGTTTCAGTTCACATCCTCTATTTGACTAGATCTTATTGTCATCATTTTCACATAAAATAGATACTTTCATAATTCTTTCATGACTGTTATAATGGTGAATTATTGATCCTGTTTTCAGAAGAATATGAAGAACAACCTTCAGGATTAGTACCGGATTTTGCTCCTCTCCTACCTGAAGGACCAAGAGAAGCAGAGGAAGATTCTCCAACACTACATAAGGTAATATATTGGAAAGGAAGGATTCTGTAAGTAGTGGTAGAGTATGTCTTATGTGTGCCAGATAGACTATTAATTTTCAATCCTTTTGGGAGAAATTTGTGTGTAAACCTCATTCCAGGCAAGCAGGTAGATTTTTAGCAGATGTCTAACATTTGTCTTGTGTGGAAGTAGCTGTTCCATCATGTGGCAATTAAATATTCTGCCTGCTTTCGCACCATTGTAACAAGTGGCAAATCCCCCATTGACTCCAAGGTTTACAGAAGTATCTCTCACAGCTACCTGATGTAAATAACGGTTGAAATAATGACATGGATTTGTCAAAACCTGACATACTTCTGGGCACTTGACTGTCATTCTTGGAATATGCATTGCCTACAGCTTCTTCAAATTTTCTGCCATGGAATTTCCTTATCTATCAGATCTCTTAGGAAAAAGTCATGTAATAATATCCTAATTAAAGACATACAATGTGATCATAAAGCATTACTACCAGACCAGGAGATACACTGCATCTAGACATGATACTTGTCAATGGATGTTTCTGTTTAGAAGTCGCTGCTGGTTCTCTGATGTGTATGACTGCACCATTCTTGTAGGTTGCTCAGGAAGGTAAACTATAGAGACTTGGTAGATTGGAAGAGCAAAGGAAAGAAAGGCTTTTGTCTTGACTGTATCTACTGTCTCTCCACTCCCATTGTATACTTGATGGGTTGCAGTTGCATATGGCATTATGTTGTTGTTTACATATCACATACTATATTGTACGCAGAAGCATTCCTGTTTCTGTGATTTTTAGTTAGCAGTCAGAATACAGTATGTACAGAAGAACAAAGAAACAGCAGCCAGTGTTTAGTCAAGGAAAAAAATAGGGGTTTGTTGTTTATTTTCTTTTTTTCAGATCTTTAGAGATACTGCTATGTGCAAGGCAGGCCAAATGACTCACTTCTCCAGAGATTAGAAACTTTGCATAGCTTATGTTCCCCTTCTGTGAACTAAAACTCATTATTGTCTTAAAACACGGAATACTTTGTAAGCAAAATAAAGTTCAATAACTATGAGAATTCAACTTTTTTTTTTTTTTTTACTCCAGAATCTTTGTATCCTTAAGTGTGCTTTCCACAGCTGTTCACTTAGGCAAATGGTGCTAATGTAACTCCTTTAAAAGTGACTTTTGTTCAGATTTCTTTCAGATGACTTGACTTTTCCATGTACTTTTCTAAAATTGAAGCTAATATATTGCATCTGATTTGCAAAGCTCAAAACGTATGCTGTTGCTTAGTTGCAATTTTTTCTCTCTTTCCAGTGACTTACCTAATTTTTGCTTCATAATATATTGCAATGTTCAAGGTTAAAACACTCAAAGCTACTTCTATTAACCTTTTTCTGTGTAGCTTTTTGGTTTTAGTAAGTGAATAAGAGGGAGGTAGCATTTAATAAATTATTGAGTACAGATTACTCACTTGGCAACCTTGTGGAAGCCAGCTGTTTTACTGAAGCCAACTGCTATAAATCGAATTACTATGTGTTTTGTTTCTAGCTATACTTGAAAAACAGAATTAATCACTACACCAAATAGTAATAATTAATCTGAAGTATCTTTTACCTCTTGTAGCTGAGAAATTCATAGCCAAACCATTGTCCAAGACAGACAAGGGTTCATTACTTCCAGATATTCCTGTCAAGTCAGACTGCAACAAATACAGGAAAAATTACAACATTACAGGAAAGCACAAACATTTTTTTTCATTTGTTTTCTATGTTGCTGGGGGCAAGGAAGGTATCCCAAAGAGAGTATGTTGCCATTTCACACATACCCAGATTAGAAAAGGGAGAAGTGCTGAGATCCTTACTATCATTAAAGACTTGATAATTTTTATCCACATTTTTTTCTGTTTTAATCTAGTAGCAATCTTGTTATTTACTGGATCAAAACACTTTATGTGCAACAACTACTGTTACTAACATTTACAACCATTTTTTATTATTCAACTTTGAGAGAAGTAATGTTTGATTAGTTTTGATTGCTTATATTTTCTCAAGTGTCTATGGTTGACATATTTTTGTAACAATAATTGTATTACTAGTAGCACTTTTTTAGTAACACTCAGTTTTAGTAATAGTTCATCAAAATATTCTTTACTTTGATTCTACTGGAATTTTGACTTAAATAGATGGCATATTTAATAATTAGTTGAATCTTTTACTGGTCTATATGGTACATACAGAAGCTCAGGAGGCATAATGAATAAAGTGTACAGTAACAGTCCAAACCCAAGCAAATATGTACCTTTTTATCTTGCACAACGTCTCAGGGCACCACAAAATCATAGAGAGTCCAGAGAAAAGTACCGAAACATTTACAAATCCTGGAAAAAAATGGTGTAAAAGGATATACTTATGAGATTAAACTAGCAAAGAAGGAGCAGTGAAGACAGTCTATAAAATAGTACATGACCTAGAGGTGAATTGGATACACTCTTTTTTTCCTTTTGTTTTTTTTTTCCCCTTTCTGCTGTTAAACAAGATCAGGGAACATTGAGCTGGAATGGAACACATCTAATATTGGTAGAAGGAAATTTTTATTTATGCCATGCTTAGTTAACCTGGTGAACCTAGCTACTACAAGACATTATTAAATTTACACTCTCAGGGATTCATTTTTTAATAACACATTTTAGGCTGAGGTAATGGTTGATTTCAGAAGCATCTGAATGACTAGGAAACACAAATCTGGCTGGTGTTTTTTTTAATTTCAAGTTACATAAGGATTGAATAAATCACCAAGAGGATAGTGAGTTGAATCAAATGGTGAATCAGATCTCTGTGTAAGACTTGCGATGCCTTGAAGCATAATGGTTTGCAAAAGCTGCAAAGTGCTGCATGGCAGAAACAAATTGTCACTCAGCTGTTTGTCATAATGGAGGAAAGTTCTACATCACTTTGGCTTTAGGCAATACCAGATACTTTTGAGACAAAGCTGCTAAGACGACCACTGAGGGGTCTGATCGGTTATGGCAGTTCCTGTGTTGCAGCAGTGACATAGCAACTTTTCTTCCTATTCCTTTCTTTTTTTTTCAGTATAAGAGCTGATGTAAGGAAATGCCAATTTCTTTTACATGGGAAATAAGAAAAATCTTCATTTTGTAATACCATATGGTCTTTCGGTTTTTTGCTTTGGCAGAAAAATAAAGCTTTTTTTAAAAAAATCTAAAAATATCAAATAATTAAGTTATTGCTTAAGTTGTTACCACAAGCAGGAAAATATAACTGAATTTTTGGTTGTGTTTGGTTTTTGGCCACAAGCATGTTTTCCCAAATATTTGGTTATATCCAGGTCTGCTATATCTATTACTCTTTCTGATTTTTTTGAGGAATACTTGAATATTTAGCTCTGTTAAGACTGCAAAACACAGTTACTGTGAAAATCATCGTAGCATTTACTCATGAGATTTTGCTACCATATGGGACTAAATAGGGCACGTAAAATGTAGAATACTACTAAGGTTTTAATTACTGAGAATACCAGATAGTCTAATTAAAAATAGTTTTCCAACTGCAGATATTATAAATGCATATCTAGCTCATAATCAGAATTTTATGATGAGTGAATAAAATGGAATCATTAACATTAGAAGAGGGTGTAATACTCAAAATCCAATATTAATCTTTGCAAATAATAAAAAAAAATGTAGTTCAAAGAACCTGCTTTCAAAATGCTTGCTACCATCAGCTTTGCATTCATAACATAATAAATTTATGCAAACCTTGTTTTCCTGCCTTATGAGTTACTTAACTCCTGAGCCACAAAATTAGGTCATAATCATCTTTAATTACAACATACATCTAAACTGCCAATAGAAATTTCATGGAGTGAAGTTCTCACTGCACTGATGAAAAATCCCAAGAAATAGGCATAGACCTGTCATCTGTCTACTCCAGTAAATGCTGTTTTCACATTCCTTAAAAGGCAGAAGAGACAGAAATTCAGATAGGGTTCTATTAGAAACCAAAATTTGGGTTTTGCAAGATGCTGGCAAATCAAAGCTATTTCAGAGTCAATAGAGTGTCTTTTTGGCCAGAAATGTTCTGCTGTCTGTAAAACCTTGTGAATATGTTTTATCATTTTAGATGACCTACCACTCACTACATAAAATGCATCTAATTGGATTCTGAATGTTAAATACTCAATTCTACATTATGAAAGAATAGTTGGAAGTAGTAACAGATTAGAACAAAACAGTAATTTAAAATTTCCATTAAAAGTGTAAGAAAATATTCTTCCTAATATATGTATCTTTGGAAAATTATGGTAAGGTATAAAATAATGGTCAGAAGCATGAAAAGAAAAGAGTTGCCTTCAAGAACTACATTATTATTGCACAATTAGGATAATCTATCCAGAGATCATCAAAACTTGATGCCATGTATATTTAAACAAAGTTTGGGATTATCACTTTCACATAAATAATTCATGTTCTTATTCTTCTTCCCCTACAGTAGGTTGTTGTCAGACTTTCTGAATACTTAGCCTAGCATGTCTGAAAAGAACCTGCCAAGCAACTGATGCTTTTCCCCTGGGCTTGAGCTCTTTCGATCTGGGTGTTTTTCTGGGCTCAAAATTTATTAGATCTAAAAATTTTAAAAGCATAGAAAACATGCTCAAAAATGTTTCCCAAAATACTTAGAAAATCTTTGATTAGTTTCATCAAAAACTTATATTTTATAGTTTGTGCTGTTTCTGTTTTCTCCTTTAACAGTGCCTTTCTTCAGGTTACTGGGGAATACTTCAGTGATTATCTTTTAGGAAGAGGAGGGACTAGAAAGATGTGATAATGCTGATGAGGGAAACACTAAAAAATTAATACAGTGGAGCTCTTGCAAGGAATAGAGCTGAATCACAGAATCATCTAGATTGGAAAAGACTCTGAAGATCATCTAGTCCAACCAAAGACTTTGACCATGTCATGAAGTGTGTTTATTTTCAAGGTTCAAAGCAGTTGCAGACCCAAAAATGACATTCAAGTGAATTAGAATGTATTATAGTGCAGTTTATAATTCTGAGCTTCATTCATGCCTAGTATGATTACACATCTGTCTTTCTAAAGGCTTTGACATCTGGGCTGACAGAAACTATGCTTTTCCAGAATCAGTCTGTAAAGCTGCTGTGTGGTCTTCCACATAAACTGTTGAATAGGAATTATGAAATAGATACATCTTTGCAAGTCCTAATTTTGAAATATTAATTATTTTGCTTATTCTCAAAGAAATCCTTCTGAAGGGAATGTTACTATGGTGCCATCTACATTTTCCTTAAATGTTACCTGATGTTAATATGTTTTAGCTTTTTATTTCTGTAATTTCTTGGGTTTAGGTGTTCTGTTTCCCCTTTAAAATGCAGTTTGTACTGTTCAAATTTAATTACTCTCTCTTAAGCATGTGTGGTGCTGCTTTATTTGTAAATTGGTAGCTCTTTCTTTTTCAATTTCAAAACCATCTCTGTGGTTCCTAATGTGCTCTGTCTCAAAAAATGTTTACACCTGTGTCTATAGTATTATTTGAATCACTGAAAGAAAAGGTATCTGGTCTATAAGCAAATTAGTATCTGTTGGGGGAAAAAGATGAAGTGACATCCATAGTCATTTGCTGTAAATGATTGGTCTGTTTAAAGATAGCAAGAATCAGGCTGAGTCACTGAACTGGTCAAGCAGAACCAAAAATACTATTGCGAGACATTTATACTATTAAGATAGCTGTCAGGAGCAAGCTAACTTCTCTCTTCCCCATGGTTTTCTCCCTGGGTCCTCATAGCCTCTTTCTGAACAGGATTGAACTATTTTTATGCAAATTTTCATGCAAAGCTCTAACCACAGATAAATTCCCAGAGGCCAAGACTTCAAGACTGAAAACAGCTGTTCTAAACCATAGTGCTTCATTCTGAAGTATCTTGCCTCCACTCTTCTTTGCCTTCAGTTTGTTGTCCCTCAGGTAGTTGTCTAGTTGACTTGATTTCTGAGACGCAATATTTGTCAATGTTGAGCCATGACTACAGTTCTCACCCCACCAGATTTCCTGTTTGTCTCTCCTAGCCCTGAACAGTCCTGGGATTTTGCAGTTTCAAAGACTAGAGAAGGCAAAGTCCTCTCTGCCTGTGGCTCTAGCATTCATGGATGGAGAAGCTAGTGAGTGTTGGCTTAGTTCAAAACACTTCAGTCGTTTAGCTGGTTTTTATGGGAAAGATAGAAATTCATGCCAATGTCTCTTGTATTCCGAGCTATGGTTCTACTAGATACAACTAAGTTAATACAGTTAGACATAAAGGTTACAATATGGTTAATCTGATAGGTTTGTTCTTTAAGAACACTAGAGAGGGAAAAAAGCAAGTATAAGTTCACTGCATTTTAAATAGGAAGGTCATAGCAAAAGAAATATATGTAATTCCACTAGCAAAGCTCCCTGTCAGTTGTTCATTTAATGGGGAAATGTATGGAGGGGTACAGAATATCAGGAAAGAAAATAATCAGTGTGGTGTGGTGTCACAGCATTTATCTCTAACTTGACTTGTTAGAATGGTTTTGACAGGAGCCATCAACATGATTCTGGGGAATTAAGTACAATACTATAAATCTTTTATCCATGGACTGTGTAATAGAAAGCAAAATCCAAACTTAATACTGAGTTTAACATCCTAAAGACTAGTCTGAAAAGACACAGGCATATGTTCAGTTTTGCTGTCTGTGACCCAGTGAATCTGTAATTAGATCAAGTTCTCTAGAAACAACTTCTATGGGAGAGTTCTGTCATGCAGAGTAGGCTGTAGGGCAAGTGCATTTACTGTCATGGCTTGAATCATCTAATTAGATTGCCTGCACCATTCTGTCCACCTACCAGAGAACTTCTGCAGACCATCAGTCTTAGAGACAACTCTGCACAGCCTAGAGGAAAGCGCTACCAAAAATGCAGTCTCAGGATGAGACTTTGTCCCTAGTATTTCCTTTATGTATATGCCCTCTGCTTCAGGTTTTGATAGGAAGTGTGTTCTGATATGTCTGATTTGTTTCCACAAGTTGCACAGGTTTAGTGCTTGACCTCCTGCTGTGGATTCTACAGCAGAGGACAGGAACTGATATACTTTGTGTATTTAGCATTTAATTGTTTTGCCGTGGTTGTTTCTTATGTGGCAACACCGAGACATTGTTAAGTATCAAAAAATGAGCTGTAAAGCAAGCAAGTCTTCTGGAAAAAGAAAGTGTATATTTTATTACAATTTTTATAATAGTAAACAAAGCAAAAGAAACTACAGAAAAGCTAAGCTTTCACAGCTGATATGAACTGATGTTCTCCTTTCCTTCTGGTGGGCTGTATCTTTCAAAGGGTGACAACAAAACTGAACACCATTACTGGTACACTGTACAAAGGAGCTCCTATTTTGTTCTCTGTTCAGTATTTGTTCTTGTGAACAGAAAAGTTCCAGATATTCATAATTATCTGAAACTTTTTTCTTTAAAGCAAACACAGCCCTAATAATCCAGTATTTACGCTCTTCAATCTGAATTAATTTAACAGCTAACACCATATCCATTACAACACTAGGTTTGCTCAATCTTAGTACGGACACAGTGACAATAGTGCAGAGCTCTTTGGAGCTTCCTGCAAGATCTGCCCATGCATAACAAGTGGTCGAGAGGTTTAGAAATGGAGAAAGAAGAGATCAACAGCCTCTTCAGCCCCTCCATACTCTAGACTTGTGTGACCTGCTCCTTAAGTTAGCGTGTCCTTGATGAATTCTTAGTGTCTAAGTGTTACCACTACCTCCTTAGCCAAATACTTTCTGCCTATTTTCCAAGCCTCCACTCATTCGTTTGCTGTGCTCCTGGTGCTTCATCCCCTTGTTGCACCAGCTCCTTCACTGCCTTCGTGCATCTGCTGCTGACCTCGCCTGTTCCTTCAATACTGCTACTGCTTACTCACGTCACTGGGACAGGAAAAGTAGTTCAAGGAGAGGGCCAAGAGGTTCACAAAAGTGTGTGAGAGAGGCAAGAGAAGGTAGTGGCAGTGCTTCAATCTGCTGTCTAGTTCCTGCCTCATCACATGTTTGGAAGTTTGTAGGAATGAGGTAAGAAAGCTATTGTACTCAAACAGTACTCTGGAGATTTAGGAGTCTGTCCCTGCAGACCCTAGGAATTCTCATTAGTTGCCATGTCAGGTGAACACAGCTATCTGAATGTCTCTGATGTCTGTAGTTGTGTGCCTTGGTAGTCATACTGAAATGCTGAGCTTGAATATATTAAAGCCTATGATGAGTTGTTCTTAAAACAGATCATTAGAACCTTCAGTTAGGCAGCTTAATTTAGTGGATAAATCTTCTAACTGTAAAACGAGGATAATTTTCTGTGTTTTAGTATCTGAAAGTATTAAAAAACAGTCCATTTTTGATAACAGAAGTCAGTCTTCTGTAGTGGCACTTAAGAGAATTGTACTAGACTGTTCTTCGGAAAGGTCCATATTTGATTATAGTATTAGTACAATGTAGAGATTCTGTAATATTTACTCTAAAAGGAGAGTAAAAAACCTGATTCAACATCATTCGCATGGGACTTTCAGAAAAAAGATTTTGTTTTGACTGCAAGTGAAGTGAATTCATGGTTGTATATGTCAAGGAACCACAAGATTATAAATGCTGAAGGAAGTATTAATTACTTTGAGTTATTCCCTTTACAGCACTCATTTGTATTTTCATATTAGTGGCATTTTATTTCTTCCTTTTGTGTTTACTTTTACCATTGACTTAGTCTCAAGTTTATTACTGTATTAACAAGGATTTTATATGTGAAGTAGAAGATTTTTCTTCTTAGCCCCACCAGTGCTACATTATTTTATTATAATATGCTGACTTTTGTTACCTGGAGTGATTTGAACTGCTTTTGACTGAACCTTGCAGGCTTAAAAAATAGACGTTTCTCCTGTTAAAACTATGCAGTAAGATGGCTTTTTAGCATTCTGTCTTTACTCATATAGTAGCAGAAATAACTTAATTCTTTACAGACCATTTATTTTAAACTGACTTCAAGCAGATTCACAGCCTTGTTTCTACACATACCTGAAAAATGTCTTTTATTTTATTTGCAAGTAGATTTTATTTTTTTTTCTTAAAGCATGGTACTGTTTCCTTGCTTTTAACCACATAGGAGTTAACATTTTATGGCTGATAGACATTCTTTTTCAAACGAGGTATATTCTCTCCTTATTCAGGAAGCTGGTGGGTTTTCTATGTACATGTGTTGGCCCCATTGTCTGTCTTTTTTTTTTTTTTTTTTTTTTTTTTTTACAGATGTCACCAGTCATCAGTAAGTCAAGGGACCTAAAATTTAGCTCAGAGCGTGACACAGATAGAGGCTCACCTGCAACACAGTAAGCAAGAAATACTTAAAACAATTTGCAGTGTTATTTCTACAACTGCTGTTAGAAAACTGTGAGAAATGTGGGAAGGGTTATTTTGTTTTAGCAAGCAGAACAAGAAGTTAGCTTCAGGATAATAATTTTAAAAATGCTTCACAGCTGAAACGTGAAGGAAATAAGAGTTTGTATGTATGTACACATACATGCATACACACACGGACTATAATGTATATGAGAATCAAAACTTGGAGATAGGGGATTGCCCTTGTCATCCCTTAGCTATGTATTAGGCTTTACTGCTACAAACTGCAAACTGTTTTTGCACCTTCTAAAACTTAGTTAATGTAAATTGCAGAAAGTTGTCATGTACTGAGAGGATGCAAGCTAGCATCTTTGATTGTGACGCTTGCATTTTTTAAAGATTGTATGTATTCGTTGTGTGAAAGCTGTAAGCAGATAAGATCTCAACATTTTGAACAAGAGCTTCCACAATATCTTTAGCTATTGCAACCATTTATACTTCAAAAAAATACATCTGAAAATACTTCCTGTGTTTGCCATTACAGGTATCTGTCATCTAAGCAAAGTTATTTCACTGATCGTTTTCCAGACTGGTCCCTTCCCCATATAAATAATCTGTGCATATGCAGTGTAGATGCGGATACATACCTAATTTTAACTTATCTTTAAGTCTTAATTTTCTGTCTCCAGCTGTATCTAGATTTGAAAATAAATTGTGAATGAAAAGTTTAACCCTCAGATATAATGAAGAGTGGACTGTATAACTACACGTGACAGAATTCAACATTGAATTTGGGGCATAATTATTTTGATAGGATGTACATTAAGGAAGGAAATGCCTTAAAAGCACAGTTACTGTAATGGTTGATGCAGTCTGTTAGAAGCCAGTATCAAAAATTCGGTATAACTCAATTCCATTAGTAGAACTCAGGGCATCCACTGAAGAATGTGGGACCAGAGATTTAAAATGTGAAATCACAAATTATTTAATCAAATTGAAGAGTTTGAAACATTTTAATGAAAACTAAGGCTGTCCTGAGAAGAGGTCACATTGAAGTGTCATGCTGAAGAAGCAGAGCCTCAAACCTGCTTCAGTTACTTTTGAGAACGGTGGGAGAAGACACCTACACGCCTGTGTCACTGGAGTGTGCTCCTTCCACCTGAACTACAGGGAGCAGGAGCATCATGGAGATACCTCTGAAGTCTGAAGTCATGCCTCATGTCGTTGCTGTCCCATCTGGGCAAAGAGCAGTGTTACAGAGCCTCACTCACAAGCTTTCAGGGTACTGAGCTGTTTATACCTGATGATTAGTGAGGGAGAGTGAAAGATGCCATGAGGTAGCATCCGATGCTGTACCTTGTCAGAGAGAACTAATTTGAAAGGGAGCAAGGTAGACATGTCAGTTCTACACAGTGCTCTATTTTCCTTCCATGTACAGGACATTCTAGGCTTTATTATGTTTTTGATGCATTTTTCCCCAGTGCTTGTGTTTTGTCTGATGTGGATGTGTCACTGCATGTTTTAAGATCAGAATACAAATCTGAGTAATGGCTCTTCCTGATCTAAAACTTGAATCTGAAAGTATGTACTTTGCAAGCTTTTCCATGAACTAGAACATAATGAAATGCGATGCACTTGTTTTTGTAATTACAGCAATGACTGCACATACCAAGGTTTTTTTGGAAGAGACTACAAGTTTTTGCCTTATTTTGAGAGCCAGAAGAGAGAAGGATCTTCTGGCATTTCTGTTGATACTAGTTTGAAAGACTGTTCTATATTTCTGTTCATAGGCTATCTTTATAGTACAGATTAGATAAATAAATAAAACATCTCAGAAACATGGCTGCATCTTTCTCATGAAAACTGACTTCTTTGTACCTAAAACCATGATCTGCAGGGACTGTGACACAACTCTAGTTTTCTTGTTCACTGCAGTTGATGTATCCTGAAATATCCTTAAAAACTGACATGCACGCAAGTGTTGTGATCTTAACTGGAAACGTTTCCTATTTTAGCACCTAAAAGCAGTATCAACAGGACTTGAGATCCAGTCCAATCTATATTTAAATAGTTGCTCCACCTAAAAAATTGTTATCTTCCTGTTTTCTGTGAAAATACACTTAATATCTGTGCCACATGGTAGTATATGGTAGGAATTACACAGTAAATAAACTCTGTAAGAATCAAGTGAGATGTGATTACCAAGTAGGCACTTTCACTATGGAGAAATGAAACTGTTAGCACCTGCACAACTCACTGTACCTTTCTTTGAGCCTCCAGATGAATGGTTGCTGTTTTGCCTGCTAGAACAATATTCATTATGGCCACAATACCAGCTGTAAAAGAAAGTGAATGGCAAACCCTTGTGACATGTCTTTCAGAATTTCTAGATGGAAAATATGCTTTTGCAATATGAAAACAAATTTTATCCAAGATGTTAGTAGATTTTTATCTTAGCCAAGCAGTTAACCTATCTTCTGCAGACTCTAGAAGAAACAGAGAAATGTTCACATAACAGATGCTAAGTGAACTAAGGTTTTTATCTAGGTACCTCAAACATTTGAGACAGCATCACATCTGATGCTCAAATAAAAAAAAGATGAAAACTACTAATCAGAATGTGAGTAGCTTTATACTGAAAATCTGCATACCATCCTCACCCTTCGAATATTAATGATTAGATACTATTTGTCAGTACAGACATCTCCTCAGATATATTCCCATTGTACAGTTTTGTTGAGCTACACTAGGTAGTGCTCTCTACATAAATTTAAGTGATTACACGTGAGACCCAGCTGAGCACTCAGTTTGGTAGATTGGTACTTATATTACTGATGAAATATGATTTAGTAGCCTGGTTTCCCCGTGCAGCAGTACTTCTCAAATTGTTCCAGGAATTCTAATGCAGAGGGTCTTAAACTCCAGAACTTTTTCTTGGGATGTTCAAGTATTAGAGGTGCAGCAGTTCATGTATTCAACTAAGCTTAAAAAAATTGAAAACCATATAGTTATCAGTCCATTAGCAAGGCTGATGTGTAAACTTTTTCATCTATAAAATATGATTACATTAGGACAGTATCACCAACAGTAATGCTCTTGCCAGGACCCTTTTTGGGGAAACTGCACACATCTCATTACATTCTCTAGTCTTGAATCATCAACTTGCTTATGTCTTTCAGCAGTGCTCAGGATCACAAACCAAGACTTCTTTGTGCTAGTCACAATACATATTTTGAACATATTTATAGTTACATAAAGTTTTACATATTTATAGTTAAAGAAAGTTGCTTCTGCCTGGAGTGGGAATTTGTGGTGGAAGTGGTGTAACATCTGCATAATCCCTGGCATCATCTGCAAGACCACTCTTGTTAAAAGCACTGACTGGGAAAGATTCAGGAGCTTGAATGATGCTTTTGGCATTGTATTAACTCTGATAAGCATAAATGGACGTTAAAGTGATTTCTGATTCTGTAAATCTGTCGTAGCTCAGATAAATTAAAATGGAAACTTTGCCTGCATGTCTTATTCTTGTTGAATAAATAACCCAGGAATCTCTCTTAAATTGCAAGTATTTTGGTGTTTGAGCTTAGGAAAGAAAAAGAGTGAAATAGCTTTTATGAGAGCAGGAGACTGGTAACTTGTATTTTTTTAATTGCATCTGTTGACTATTGATCAGGACTGCTGATTTTTAAGATCACAAGCAGTGCTATGATATGTTAAAAAGCAGACTAGTGGAGTGGTCTCCTCTTTTGTCTTCATAGTTTTTCTGTCTTTGTTCTGCTGTGGAATGGTAGTTTCTGTAGCTGTTTCAGTATTGTATTCAAGGGGGACAGGCAGACAATTGCTCTAACACATCAGCTGTGCGTGGAAAAAGCTCTAAATTTGGACTAACTTTGTGTTTCTTTTACTCTTTTTATAACCACTTTCCTCTAGAGGTGCAAAGAAAAAGAAGAAAAAGATACAGAGGAATGAGAGAGAAAATCAGCACAACTTCATGGGTCTTGATACTCCTGTATCATCAGTTACAGCTAATGGTGTTGAAAATGAACCCACAGCCCATGGGGTAGAACTGAAGAAGAAGAAAAAGGCAGTGAGAGGCTCAAACTTAAGCACAAGCGGAAAGATAAATACCGCCTTTGAGCCTGAATGCTATGAGGTATGATATTCAGTGTACGTGTTGAAGGTTGCATCTATGATTTCATTTCCAGGATTAACAAGAAATAACAAAATTAAAATACTCAGACGTGCAAGATGACGCCAGCTGTGACTTACTAATGGCGTAAAATGTTTTGGCAGACTTTTGCCCTGGGTTCCTTGAAATCAACAGAACTTGAATGTTCAACTCACCAGACTGGTAGAATTTCCATTTTTCATGAGAACCCTACTTACAAATAAAATGTTAATCAATTTAATGTCTGATTGCACCTTAGACATTTCTATGAAATGTAGATCAATCCATTGGGAGCAGAGAATCAAAGTGAAAAAATGTCATCTTGAGCAAAACAAGCTCAACCACTACCTAAGTTATTAAATTAGCACTTTAAAATGTGTTGTAAGTAAAATAAAGGACTGTTCAGAACAGTAACATTCCAAAGGAACACTGACATTACAGTGTACCTGAAAACATAAGGTTTTTAAAAACATTTTCCTGACATCAAATACTCCCTTGGACTGCATTTTGCAACTCTAAAGCAAACTGTTGAGTAGATACCTATGCAACTACAGTCTTCAGTGGGACTACTCCTGCTTACCAATGTAAATAAGTCTTGAAAATTCCAGGCAGTTATATTTTTCAAATGAGGTTTTCTGCACATAATAAAGATACATTGCAGTTCTGTCAGAATTCCTGACTGCTTTGGCAGCAGTCTTGCCAAATACTTTCTTTTGTCTGGATTAAATATTTCATATTGAACTGTGCTATTTGTTTTACTTGTAGTCCTTATTCACTTGTGTCATTGATCTATTTTTTTACTTGAGTATTATGTTGTGAACTTTTACTAATAACTTCAGTAATTATCTACAGTGCTAAATAATTTATGTTTTATATTAAACGAAACACTTTCTACCAGTTAGTGTTGGTATTTTTTCTGGCTGATGATGTCCAGTTTATTTTTACTCTGCTAGGAAATTCTTCCTCCTCCCCCTCTGAAGCAATAAATAACATAAAATTAGAAAGCCCTTATTTAGTAGACAAGGCACTTGATTCCATTAAAAAAAGAAGTGAGAATAACAGTGTTGGGCACTGATGTGTGAAATGCACCCAGATGCAGAACACTAGTTGCTATATATTGTAATATCTTCCCTGCACATGTTTGAAAGCCAGAAAAATCTGTAAACTTTTGAGTAAAGTATGGCAGCAAGTACTCTTTTTTGGCCCCACTGGTAAACATTCTTTGCTAAATCCTAGCTTTGCTTTCCTTAGAGCATGTGTATGGAGTCCTCTCCTGAATGGGCTTGCATACATGTACTGGAAACTTTTTAATGTCTCTTTCCCCAGTGAGAAGTGGTGTAATCTTAGTCCTGGGTCTGCCTGATTCTAGCAAGGCTCCTAGCATCTTACCTCTCTGCTTTTGCAATGCATTCCAGCTCATTGTTCTGTATGACTTAATCTGTGGGATTTAAAGATTTTTGTAAAAGAAAAAAATCTCAACATTTTACATTTCCTAAAATGTCCTGGGTCACATTTTAAATAAGGCAGAGCATGACATCAGGTTCCACGTCAGGGAGAGCTGAGTGGTAGCCAAGATCTGGGAGCTCATTGGAAAGCATTGTAAAATGTTAATTTGGCATTGTGGACACTGAAGACAGAAATAACACTTCAGATAAACACCACAGAGAGATGGTAGTTCTAATCAAAGGCACAGCACCTCCTTTCATGCTTGCGAACTAGGGCTCCAATTATGTTCACTGCTCTGAAGCTGAATAGAGCTGCTTTGCCACACTTTCCAAATTGAGAGGAGAGGCAGCATTAGTGTCTTCCAAGGCACAGTTCCAAATAACAATTAAGCAGAAGGAATCAGATAAGAGCCAAACATGAAAATGCAGGAGTTGAAAATAAACTTTTCATAATGTTTTCTTGTAATTGCAATAGCTTTTGTTTTGTTTTTATAATTTTTTTCCTCCCTACCACATGGTTGGAGACTTCTATTCCTTTATACCGTGTCACTGTGGTATGACAGTTTTCTGCATTCATTTAACAGAAAATGAACAAAAATATCTAAAATTTTTTAAAAAGTCTAAGTGATCCTTCAGTCTGAAATCTCTTAAGAAAATATTAACGTGATGTAATGGCAAAGACAGGTTTTACCTTTTGTTCAGAAATATAACTGATACATTCATTTTAAGAAAAACTGCTTTTCTCTTCAGTGTTATAGATTCTTTATTCTTCTGACATTGCTGTTGGGATTTTAAACTTACAAGAGAGGATAAAACTTTTAAACAGTTTGGGTTAGGGTAGTGGCTTAAAAAAATAAGTGTTTAAATTAACTATATAATGCTTCTTGGTTTTGTGTTAATGCAACCTACATATTTCTTAAAATCACTTTACCAATGAGCATTGTGTACATTTGCTGAAAATTGTCCAAAGTATTTAAAAGATTTAAATATCAGTGGAAGAGAAGAATTCCAGAAGGACTCAGCTTGTCTACTGAAAATTTTCCTTGTTTTTTTTTTTTAGTTGAAGAACTAGATTTAGTATCCAAAAACATGAGTGCCCTGCAAAATTGCTCCCTGAGCCATGAATTAAAATGCAAAAGTCTGTTTGAGGAGTTTTTAGAGGGTGATACAAGTTCATTGCTGGAACAAAGCAGATAAAACCTTGTTTAAAAAAGGGTAAATATTAGATATTTCTAACTGCCTGGTGATAACAGCATAATAGGTCCTTCATTGTTCTGGTGTTTTTAGGTTGTGTGTGTGTGGTTACAACATACAGTTCCTATTACATTTTTATGATATGGCAGAGACATTGAGAACAATGCATGAATCGGCAGAATAGAAAAGAATGGATGGCACATTTTTCCTGTCTTTCTCAAAAGCCATCAGATTGCATTTAGTTTTTTTCCTTAAAATAATTTGAAGAACAGACACCATAAAACACAACAAGTTTATTTGTAGCATCACTTAATTCAGAAGGCAGTAGGGGATGGATCACAGTCAAACAAGGGCTAATGAGAACACAGAGGAACATGACAACTGAAAGTCTCTGTTGACTATTGAACTAAATCTGCCGGCTGGACCTGATTGTCTGATGGAGAATTGAATGTCAGGATCATTTAGGGTTAACAATGGCCCATTACAAGCAGAAGCAGACAGCTATGAAAAATAGCCGGCATGGTAGCCATTCTGCAGAGACCATGGATGCAAACTTGATAATGAGGCACTTCATTCACTACATCCTTCTGCTCTAATTACTGAGGTGAATAGGAAATACTTCATTTAAGGCGGGAACAGACTAAAGCAAAAACACTTGTTTGGTAAACACAGAGTGGTGGGGTTTTTTAATGATCCTTTCTAGCATGTATGAAATTAGTATGTATGCAGAGCAGCCTATTTTATGGATGTGGAAATTGGGAGGGGATAGAAGTAGTTTCTGAATAGTGGAAGGAGACTAGAAAGATTCACGTACAGGTTTGTACTGTGGGGTTTTTCCCTTTTCATTCTGTCCAATGACTATCCAGAATGTTTTGGACAAATTAATTTATGGACATACACCTGCACTTGTGAAAACATACTGTGTTAGTTCAAGGAGTTTTACTGCTTACAGTGTCAAATATGTGCATTAGGAATACAACTGCACGTAAGGAATAGAAACGAGAGGAGGTCTGAGAGAGGGAAATAAGCAACTTGAGAAGAAAACTGCTGTCTGGGGGAGACTTGCAAGAATGTGGCAATTAGAAATTGGAACTTAAGAAGAAGGAACAGAAGATGGTGATAAGGCATGTTATAGCAGAGCTTTGGTGGCTTCAGTCATGTTTTTTAGACTTTAGAAATTAAGGTATTTAACCACTTTTTAATACACGTAGGTTTTGTGCCATTTACAGGAGCATTTTGGATGAACTCACAATGCATGGGGAATATTTTGCTGTGTCTTCCAGTAACTCATAACTCAGTACTGTACTAACTCTGAGCTGCAGCCTGGAAAGGTCCATATCCTCAGTGGCTTGCAGTGCTGTTGGGACAGCTGCAGCTTTGTTTCCCTAATTTCTGGCACAGGTCTTCAGAGGGCACCTTTATAGTTGTCTGTTGCAATGTACACCTCTGCCTTGATTCAGTCCGTTCCAGCCTCTTCATCTGGCGCAAAACAGCTAGAGCAGCAATGAAAATTTCTCACCAAGCATCAAGCTGCTCTTTCGAACATGGAATATCATATGATCCTTTTCCTATGTATTGATGCGTTCTACTCGCAGTGGTTTTGGCAAGAGTTTTGTCCTTTGTTCAGTCTGTTGTATGTTGGTTGCTTGCTGCCTGCCCTTTCAGAAGGGTCTGTTTTCCAGCAGTGACATGTATATGTGGAGTCCTGGTCTTGCCAGCTGCTTGGAGTGGATGGACCCCTGTACTCAAAGCTCCAGCAAAGTCAGCAAGGATTAGACTTTCAGCAGAAATATCATGGCTGTAGTTTATATGTTAGTATACACTAAAGACTAAAATAATATTTTCTAGCTTGCAGTCATAAATTGATAGCTCTGCATTTCATCTAAAACTCCAGCCACCTGTTTTTTTGCGAGGACTGTGTCACGTCAAATGAATTTGCACTATGTTTGACTGTGGCAAACAAGTTTATAAGTCCTATTTAGTGCTCAAATGCAAATCCTCAGCAGAAACTGCAGATGCCACTTTTAGCAGAAAAATGTTTCCACACCGGTAAAGCAATATCAGTAAAATCTATGCTCTAAGCAGACATCAAATT